TTCCCGCACTCTAAACATTGATAGGGTTTCTCTCCCGTGTGGCTCCTTTGATGGGAAGTAAGGTTTCTGCTTTGACTGAAGCTCTTCCCGCACTCAGGGCATTCATAGGGTTTCTCTCCAGTATGAACCCTTTGATGCCTAATCAGTTCGGAGCTCCTACTGAAACTCTTCCCACATTCAAGACATTGAAATGGCTTCTCTCCTGGGTGGGATTTCCAGCTCATGTTCCTATCTGACGTTTCATCCCAACTTTCTACATAGGAAGAAGCCTCGTGGTTTCTTCTTTCCTTTGGAAGGTCTGGGTGGATTGAAATCTCACGGAAATTAGTGAAAGATTCGTTCCTTTCGCCAATTAGGTTTCCGTTTGCCTTCACTGCCCCTGAATTTCCAAAAGGTCCTTCTACACCTTGGCACGTGTAACTGTCCTCCAGCACAGGTTGTGACGCCTCTCTATCATTTCTTCTGATCCACACCTGCTCATCTGAAATAAAGAGAAAAATCGGATGTCAGCCAAAGTCCAGTTGAGGAATGAGTATAAGCAGTTACTTAAGCCAGATAACTAACCCATGTGAAATAAAGAGAAAAATCGGATGTCAGCCAAAGTCCAGTTGAGGAATGAGTACAATCAGTTACTTCAGCCAGATAACTAACCCATGTGAAATAAAGAGAAAAATCGGATGTCAGCCAATGTCCAGTTGAGGAATGAGTACAATCAGTTACTTCAGCCAGATAACTAATCCTACACCCTGTCTGGGGAAAAAAAAAATGTTTAAAGGTACAACCAGGGGTGGGATTCTACGGTTTAGACTGGTTCAGGCAAACCGGATATTAAATTTACATCTGGTTCGCCGAACTGGTAGTTCAACTGACTGGCTGGCCACACTCACCTTGCCCCCTGCCTTCCAGAAGTCTCCACATGGCCCATTTTGGATGCAGGTAAGTACAAGGTCCATGTGGAGGTTCTGGGAGAGCAAAAAACGCCCCCCTCCCCCGGAAAATTCAGAAGTTTGGAAACAAGCCTGTTTCTGGCTTCTGGAGGCCCTACGGAGCTTGAGGGGGACAGCCATTTTTGCCCTCCCAGAGGCCCGAGTGAAGCCTTCGGACTCTGGGGAAGGTGAAAAATGGCCCTCCTGGAAGTTTCGGTAGGCCAGTGGTGGGATTCAAATTTTTTTACTACCGGTTCTGTGGGCATGGCTTATTTGGTGGGTGTGGCTCAGTGGTAATGTGGCTTGGGCGTGGCTCGGTGGTCATGGGATTGGGTTGGTGTAGCTTGGTGGTCATGTGAGTGGGTAGACATGGCTTGGTGGTCACGTGACTGGGTGGGCATGGCTTGGTGGTCATGTGACTGAGTGGGTGTGGCCAACTTAATGTCACTCACGTTAAGAGCTGCCTCACCTGGCCCCTCCCTTCCCAGCCATTCCTCGTCACACCCAGCCTCAACTTATCTATAGTTCTGTAGAAATGTCGTTCACCTTTTTTTGACTTTATTATCTACATACTATAGATGTACTTTCATGGACCACTGAAAGGAGGAAATGGCTCACATGCTTTGCCCAAGAGTGCGATAGCCAACAGGCTTTTAAGGGGCTGCCAGAAAGAAAGCGGGGAGTGGGGTGGGAATGTATTTTCCAAAGCACCAGAAGGCAAACAAGAAGCAATGGATGGAAACCGAGCAAAGAGAGAAGCAAGGAGAACTAAGGAGAAACTTTCTGACAGTAAGAACAATTAATTAGTGGACCTGCTTGTCCCCAGAAGTTCTGGGTGCTCAATCACTGGAAGTTTTTAAAAGACTGGACAGCCATTTCTCTGAAATGGTATAAGGTTCGCCCTAAAGTCCCTTCTAAGTGTTATTCTGACACCTTTCCCAGGACCTCTACCCGGAATTTGGCATCCTCGGTTTTCCTGCCTGAGCAGGGGCTTGGACTAGAAGACCTCCAAAGCCCCTTTAAACACACATGTATTTAGGCTCTGGACTATACACATTGAATGCATGTAAACGCTGAAAAATATGTGGTAGCCCTGGGCAAAAGAAAGGCAGTAGAATCACTCTAGGTGTTGGGACAGTGTAAAATATTAACACATGATAAATAATGGAACAATTAAAAATAATAGCAGAGTTTTCTCAGTCTCTCTCTCTCTCTCCCTTCCTTCCTATTTCTTTTTCTTTCTTTGACTGTCTTTCTCTCCCTTCCTTTCTTTCTTTCTCTCTCTCTCTCTCTCTCACACACACATACCACACTCTTTCCCTATTTCTTTTTCTTTCTTTTTCTCCCTTCCTCTTTCTTGTTCTTTTTCTCCCTTCCTCTTTCTTTCTCTCTCACACACACCACACACACTCTTTCCCTAATTCATTCATTCATTCATTCTTTCTTTTTCTTTCTTTCTTTCTTTCTTTCTTTCTTTCTTTCTTTCTTTCTTTCTTTCTTTCTTTCTTTCTTTCTTTCTTTCTTCTTTCTTTCTTTCTTTTCCTTCCTTCCTTCCTTCCTTCCTTCCTTCCTTCCTTCCTTCCTTC